AGAATTTTTAAGCACGATGTACGGCATCGAAATGATCCTGCCAAATATGTTGCTGCCCATTGCTCTGTATTTCTCGGGTCAAGGTCACGCTGGGTCAGAAAAATGTAAAACAGGCAAGCACTGCCTATTGATTTTCAGTTGGTGGTGGCTTTAGCAGGTGGTTTCGGTGATCGTTTTATCAGTTGGCGTCATTGTTCGTGTGAACGTGCTGTGTTGGTGATAGTCCATTTTACCACTCGCTTTGCTTATGGGTTTATGGGCTTGCATGGAAGCGGCGCTGATGTTCCAAAGGTCAGCCAAGTTCACGAACTTGAATTATAAGTGCCTGCACGTAGCATGTCAGGTACCCTGCCACCACCTGTCATTTTAGCCGCAATATGTGTCTTGTACAGCTGGAGCATGTTCGTCCAGCCTCTCTCTTTAGAGCAAAGCATCTGCATTATTGCTATGACTGTAATATATTTTAGGACTCAGCGGCCTTGTTTGACCTGAAGCAGGCCTTTCACATGATTTTCAAACGTAAGCTACCTGAAACAGCTCGTCAGTTTTCGCCGATTGCCACCCACCGTGTGGTCGTAACTTGGGTGGTTGTGGTGGAAGATGACGGAAAATACTCGGATTGGGAGGCAGGAAATACTCGACCTGATAGGTTAGATGACTTTAACTTGTCAAAAATTGATTGCATGCATTCAAAACCATTCCCAAATAAAATTGTGCCCCCCCCCCCCCCTCCCTTTCCTCGAAAAGCCTTTATCCGATTATCGTAGCTCAAATACCCGCATTTCATAGCAAAAATAAGGAATGTACTATTCCAACAACCTAAATTAATCTCGGATTTCACAAATTACCCTCCCAAGAAATATACATATAAAAAGCTTGGACGATGACTATTGGAAAGGTCTTTTCCCCCTCATTGCACATAATTCAGCATGGCAGGTACCGGTTATAGGACGGTATATGGGACAAGAGGACAAGAGGAGCATTCAATACGAGTTTTGGTTGTGTAGACTGAGATGTCACTCCGTTGGCCCAGGCCAAAAAAGAAGCTGAATGAATATGTCCAGAACCAGAAGACAGCAAGCAACGTGCTGGTATTTACAGGATTACCTCATCGTAATGTGCTCTATCTCTCTTAGTTCAAAAGTTAGTAGGTGGGCTCTCAGCTTCCCACTTCTCATCCGGTAAGGATGCAAAATCCTCCCTCTCCCGTCGAGCGAGGGCTAAAATCAATGGCTTCAGACTGTTTCTAAAAGTGCATTACCTGACGTTCCTAGAATTACGTCCCGTTAAATCATTAACGGATATTAATTATACACATATTGTATATAATATGTATTTATACATGTGATATATGCAGAGGCATTATATGACTAATTACGTCTTGTTAAATAATGGACGACTATTAATACTAGAAGCATTAGTTTACTTAAGACGTTCCTTGAATTACATCTCAGGACGATATTTACGTACTTAGACAGTTGAATAAGAATTGGATATGGGAGCTTGAATATTTATTATTTAGGTATATTTTTATTGGAAGAACGGAAGCCTTATTACATGCAATGCAAGAGCACGTGTAGGAATATTACAACTAACACGACTTGCTCCGTGGGGATGATAGCTTGCTCCGTGGGGATGATAGCTTGCTCCGTGGGGATGATAGCTTGCTCCGTGGGGATGATAGCAAGATGATAGCGCGACTCCGCGGTGATGACAGACACGGATGATGTCATTGCATGCATGACACCTATCAGGTCACACGCCGAGCTGTGTCTGTGACTTATGTGGACTCATTCGCTGTGCCGCGTCCTCCAGCCGACTTCTTTGACTTGTCTCAAGGCTTTAATGCTACAGCTTGGTTGAGCAAGAAGGGTTGATCGCTCATCGCATCGGCATGCTTTTTGACAGCCGTATCCCACCAGATAGCAGCAGCTGGAGAGGGATCGCCCGGTTGCTGGATTAGCATTAACCATCATTCGCGACAGGTGGTGAGAGGGTACGGTCTGCCTTTATATGGATCGTCCAGTCTGATAGCCTAGCACAAGTGCATGGCCATGCGCAACGTCGCCAGAGCATTCCTGTGACCACGGGGTCTAAGAAACTGAGACGGGCTTGCTATGGATATTCAGACAGCCAGCATGTGAAGTCTGTAGGGATACCGGACCGAAAATGGATGCTCTGCATGGTGCATTGTGTGAATAGTTAAAAATGTATGTTCAGAGAAGCCTAGGACGTTTTTGCACGTATTTCATCCGCAAAATGATTGCACACAGGGCTGTGTCTCGGCCACATGCCGTGACGATGTTTGTGAGTCTGTCTGCCCGTCTGCCCAATTCTTTTGACACATCGAGTCTAACCTGCTGTGATGACGTCATCAAGCCTTAGCCCTGCGTGCCACGGCTTGACAGACAGTCTTTGGCCCCAGTCTTGTACCGATCGGCGCCGGGTGCATTGCGCCATGTACTCGCCGCGTCCCCAGAGATCTACACACTTCTGTCACGCCACTGTCACAGGCGCAGGCCCGACTGGCGGTCACATGGGTCCGGGAGCCGACGGAACGCGGCCATTGGCGTGATCCATGGCATTTCAGGAGCTTGTCCGCCAGTGGCGGCAGGCTGTGTTCTGTGCGTGCGTATTTTGGGGCTGGGGCACCTTATGACTGCTGAAGTGCCAAACCACGAGCAATAAACGTGGCACGTGAATGAGGTGTCGGGTGGGAAATCGGTGACCGGCAAATGTGGATAGATAAGTGGGTCTATGTTTGTAAGGTGATTGGGCATGTTTTGTAACTCTATTTGTACTAAAGTGGCCTCGATCTGCGAGATGGTCCTATTCTAAGCGTCACAAGAGAGCAGTGCCAGCACACATTCAGACAAAATTCAGCAGGTGCGGGATGCCACTGCGCGCGCTCTGTAAGTGGAAGCGATTCGTTTCCTTGCGTTATCGCCGCTGGACGAGTGTCGTCCGCGGATATATCAGTCACGTCGGGCCTATGCGTAACTTGAATCTCATCGACATGCCTCTTTTGGTTGAGTGACACAGACCCAAGGTCAGAACCTGCACGAGCAAACTCCCCCCTCCCCCCCCCCACACCCTCCCAGCCACACACACGCTAACTTGATGACCTGTGCCGGCTGGTGTGCCAAGCTTGGTACACCAAGCTGGGTGAAGTTTTTGATAGCTTTAACTAGTGTAAAAACGGACGCCTTTGTGTAAAACGGCTGTAAGGGCTAAAGGGCGTACGTCCTTCCATGCGAAATCTACGTCGGGTGGCTTGCGACGTACTCAAGTTCGGAATCCTTCCATTTTCTGCAGCCATATCCGATAGTAGGACGTGGCTAAGTCTCCAACACAACAGACTGTTGGACACATCCGATTGTCGGACACGGCCGACTGTCGGGCATGACAGACTGCCGGACGTGACTGACTGTCGGACAGGACCGACTGCCGGACGTGACCGACTGTCGGAAATGATCGGCCGTCGGACACGACCGACTCCCGAACATAACAGACTGCTGGACGTGATCGACTGCCGGGCGTGATAAACTGCCGGGCGTGATCAACTACCGGACACGGCGGACTGCCGGACGTGATCGGTTGTTGAACGTGATCGACTGTCGGACATAGCTTTTCATGGATGTCTCCGGGTCCCTGAAATATTTGAAAATCCTTTGCGTGTTCTGTTCGAGGGCGGTCAGCTTTGATGCTGGCAGATGCTCCTCAAAACTTGGCCCTCACGCGTTGTGTTGGGTTGCACCGGTGACGGTACAAGCTAGACCGATCAGATTTGGTGCGATTCTTGGTATTAGCAATTACTCTGCAAGCAAGCACTTTTCAGGCATGCCTGCTAGAACCCAGATTATGTGTTTCTATTCTGATCACAAGGCGATACCCGTGCACTTGTCTGGTGTTCGACTGGCAGATAACACTAACAACGTCAACATCTGTCACAGGCAAGTGTGAAAAAGATGCAAGAGCCGTACGCAACAAAGCCACGAAGAATGTTGCCCCTATTAAACAACGATAGATATTGCTCTTTTATGATGGAACACCAAAAATTGCATCGCCAGTCTCGTGACAACTGAGTTCATCGCCACCTAATGTGTGACGTCAAACGACAGAGTTCTTCATTTATTATATAAAATTCAGTTTTTTTCTCAGCGAGCATTTGTCATTTGTCAAGTCAACCTCACAGTAGGAAAGGGCAGCTCAATTGTTCAAGGTACGAATTTTGGGCCTCAAATTAATTCTATGTCTTGCTTGCTGGTATGGGATCCAACGAATGAGGTACTTCCGAAGTCGTATCTCTCATGAGATTTTTTCAAAGCGTATCGGAGAAGAAAGATGTTTTCCTCGTGGTCCCAAGCTCATACCCCTGAAAGGAGCACTAACCGACCAGAACCCCTCTCGCATCAAAACATAACTTGCCATCGCCGTCCTATCCAGACTCCTCTACCAACAACCCTCATGACCGAGAGGCGTGCCGAGTCTTCCCAGGGGCGGCCGCGCACCGCCCATACTGGCCGGTCGTTCTGCCGTCCCATTCCACCGGCCGCGCGTTCTAGTCGCGCCCGCCAGCTCGGCCTCTGCAGCTCACATCGACTCCAAACGCACAACGTCGCCCCGATTTTCCGCAATCTTAATTAATCACGGCGCCATCGGTGGCGAGATCGTTAAGGCTTCTTCATGCAGCGAGTGCGTGGAGGAATTCAGCGGCTGACGTCTTCCAGGGGTCGCTCTTCTCCACCCGCGCCTGTTTACCTCGTTTCGCCACCATACAGTAGCGACCGGCCCGACAAAAGGGCAGCCGCGCGCGCGCGCGCCCTGTTTTGCATAACTGAGCGCGCCGCGCCGGCCGCTGATTATGCGCCAACCCTTGCCTTTTTGCGGCGGGCGGCGCAGCAGCTGAGTGCGCCCGGCGGCGGCGCCGGCGGCGCGGCGGCGAAGGCCAGCCTCGCGCGCGGCCGCCGCCGCCGCGCCGCCGCAGAGTCGAGCGGGCCTCGGAGCGCGCGAGCGGTGCGCCTGGTCAGCAGCTGAGATGCAGAGCGCGGCGGTGCTGGTGCTGTGGGCGGCCGGCCTGGCGACGGTGGCGGCGGCGACGGCCGAGGATCGCTCGGCACGCTCGGCGCAGTGCAGAGCGATGTGCCTAGACGAGGTGGGTGACGGATTTTTTATTTGGGGGAGTGAAGGGCAGTAATAAGTGTGAAGGGCGAGTCGCCAAGGTGTGCCGGACAGTGAGCACATGTGTGGCCGGACTTTGAATGACTGCTTAGAAAAGGGTCCCTTATCGTCGTTTTCTTGGAAGTATCTATTGTGCAGACGGCTCTAAATATCCGGCCCTTTACCCGTGTTTGGTCACCAGCTGATGACGCACGCCGCATTGGTTTGGAAGGTGACAGAGTATTTTGTATTTACATATTTAGTTGTACATTATCTAATTTTAATGGATGGAATCATTCTTTTGACTATGGTTCTCGTCAGGTGTGTTGGTAGGTGCACAATTAATCCATCTGTGATACTAATATCTCGTCTGAATCCTTCCTTCAGACTATAATAATAATGATTTTCTATTGACGTTTGAGATATGAGGCTTTATATTAAACGTGCAATTCTTCTGAAGGCATCACACACACCCGCAGTACTTAGCAGCAAACAGGGACTACAACTTTTGGCACGCATTTCGCCTAAAATCGTATCTGGACTGCACATGACCCGTGCACAGAACTTGGTCCTTGGAGGGTGCTGAAATATACTGCTTGAATCCGTTCGTGGCGCACACTGACGTGACATTGTCGTGGTAAGGCGATGGTGTCTCCCCTGCCGGTTCAGTCACGAGCGCGATGTTATCATTGTTCGACAGATCGCTGCGGCAAGCATATCGAAAGATCCTTGCCGACGGATTGCTCGCGAGTATCTTCTTTTCTTTGTGAAGCTGTCAGCGTTTGCAAAAATGCCATGGCGTGACTTGGTGCTGTTCTTCAGTTACTTTATGCTCGTTACTTCTGACATTTTATAATCTGAAAACTTCACACCGATGGACATCAGGAGCTTACTTTCTCGGCTGTCAACGAATACGTGCAGTATGAATTGGCACAGCTGAACTCGGATTACATAAGACGCAACTGAGGACGTTAGCTTCGCTAATTTTTTTTGTGCATGGCAAGGTAGATTAGATGAGGCAGCCATGGCTCGTCATTTACTACGATTGAGCGCAGTAGATACACCCTTCTTATTTCAACACTAAATTTTAAGATTCAAAAACTACGTTTACCAGATCGACAGGTTTCTTTTAGCAAAAACCGACATCCACAGATCCTTTCTGTACGTAGCTGCTTAGTTTCATCGTTGGTTGTATCGCAGAAACGGACCACACACCGCACACTGCACCCACCCACGGCGTCTCCCTATCTTATTCAGCCTTGCAGCGGCTCACGTCTGTGCAGCCCAAAGAGGTGTCACTGACTAGTGAATGAAGAAGGCCGGGGGGGGGGGGGGGGGCGGAGACGATAGATATTTTAGGTTGGTCTTCTCGTGCAGCCATATAGGTCATTTTTGTTAACTGGGACCACGTTTACGTGCAGACCGCCAAAGTCGCTTTACCTTGCTGCAGCCCGGCACCGTCTCACCAACTCCTGAGCTTTCTGCTGCATCCACATCTCCCCAGCAGGACGGTGTCTACCACTCTCCCAGCCCGGCGGTGGCTCCCATATTCCATGACCGGCAGCGTCTCTCATCTCACCATCCTGGCGGTGTCTCCTATCTCCTCGGACCGGCAGCGCCTCCGCTTCGCTGCCGCCCCGGCAGGCGCTAATGACCCGCCCACCAAGATGGCGGCCGAGCGCGCGCGCCGCCGGCGCCGCGCCGCACTCGGCCCAGCTCGCCGTGGCCGCGGTCTGCAAACACGCCGGATGCTAATCAATTAGCGCGTCATTTCCGGTCGGCGACTTTGTCAGGCAGCCGGCGACGGCGGCGGGCGGGGGGTCGCCCGGCACCCCCTCCCCTCCGCGGCCCAGGTCGGACGCGGACGGTCTCCGGGCCGGGCGGCCGCGCCGACCGGCACAAAGCCGCGGCCGCCCGTCCGCCGCCGTCGGTCGGACAATATCAATGGCCGCCCCAAAGACCGCTTAGAAATCTGGCGCTATTCAGCGTCGCTAAGGGCGCATATTTTCGCGGCGAGTACAGGCGAGCCGGCGGGGTGCATTCATCAGGAGCGCTATCAGCGTGGCGGGCATTCAGCTGGTGACAATCGGCGCCGTCTAATGCGCCGGCGAGCTGTCGTGGCATTCACAGCGCGGCCGCGCCAGCTGACAAATAGAAATAAGGTGTAACCAATGGCGCTAAACGGCAGCACGGCACCGCGCTCCGTTCACACAGCCATCGAAAAGGCCGAGGAAAATAGCGCAGGTACGGTTTTGTTCGGTGCGCTGGTCTTTTGCGCAGTCCGCTTCTACCCTTTCGCTCGTGTGCTCGCATGGGCACAGCACCAGCAGCAGACGGTGCTGCAGCGGCGCGAGCGAACCAAACTAGCGTGCTGTGCGGATTTGGCGGTAACTTTTTAGCTCGGTCTTGCACACGACACCGCAAACGCAAGTTCTTTGTGGCGTAGTTCGGGATAAATCTCTGTCCTGCTCATGCGGCCACATTGTCTGATCACAAGAACTAATGAGCCTCAGCGCCGGTGAGATAAAAGGCTCTGGATAACAAAGCACGACACTGTGACAAAACCGCTTTTTCGCGTTTCTTTCGCTGTTCATGCGGTCACATACTCCGAGATAAGGGAACCACGAGCGTGACCAGCTCTATGTGTGCGACGCTCACCGGAGCGTGCAGCAGGCCGAGACCAGATCTACGATTTTTCATTAGGACAGAGATTTATCAGCTGGACAGGTTGCACGATTTACGCGAACATCTGTCCGCCGCCGGTGCGTCACGTGATCGATTGCATCGCTACGGCCGGCGGCCTCTCCAGCCGGCTTATTACTGGCTCCCGGGTCCGCGACAGATTCCGCTCCATTGTGCGATAAATTGCCTGACTTCCGGGCTGCCGACGGACGAATACCCCGTCATTATACTGTAATTGAAAATCGGGGCGACCGCGGCGCCGAGAGACGCAGCGGTTCCGGAGTGGAGGCTGAAGTCACGCACAGCGCCGCCTCTCGGAAACTGCGACGCTGAGGTAACCCCAACGCCGCAGTGGCGACGAACGGCCGGCGCTAGGGCGACTGCACTGCAGCACAGGACAACAGCACCGGGCGGCGCCGGCCGGGCACCCTCGCGCCGGCCTATCAGTCCGGCGCAGGATGCGCGATGAAAGACGCGATAGCCGTCAAAACAGAGCACTAGCCCTGGCAGGAATAGGGCGGGTGGGCGTGTTTTTGAGCAAACACGGCCGGCCGGCGCGGGGGGCGCCGCCGCGCGCCGGGGGCCGCGCCGCGCGCGCTACCGCGCCGCGGCCGCCGCCGAGACAGAGACGTAATCGGCGCGGTCGGGGGCGGCGGTTAGTCGGACTCTCGCTGCGCCATTGTGCGCGGCCCACCCGAGATGAGGTATGCTCGGCTGGCCGGCGGCCAATTTGTCGACGGGGCGGCAGTAATGCGGGCGAACACCGGGCGCGTAGGTACAGGGCCAGATCGGGCCCGGTCTGGCCTTGTGTTCGGTCCGTCCGCGAGGCGCACGGTCTCAGCGCTCATTAATTTGCTGAGGAATTTCGTTGATAAGCTTTTTGTCTTCGTGCTTGGGGGCTTTGTAATGGAAATGTCCGCGTGGAAAGGGTCCACGCATAGCTCGGATTTATTGGGGCACAAATTTCGTCCCGGACTTCGTTTCCTGGCATGTGAGGGAGGCTGACTCGCAGCCATTCGTATTTGATGACATGACTTTCGACAGTCTTAGATGATATCACAGCGATGAAATATCGAATCGCTTGCCGTCGTCCGAAACCTTTCCCTCAGAGTACCAATTTTGGAGCCAATTATCCACCATAAAACCTGGCCCGGTTGTACGCCTAGCTCTGTTAATGTCATCCACGGCCTCATGAGTATTTCAGCCCTGTATTTACTCCGGGTTGTCCGCTGGCTTACCCCTCTTTCTTTTTGTTCCAGTACCACATCGGGAGAACAGCCTCGCACACCAAATGCTTGCAGAACCAGTTTTGTTTTATGGTAAGTATGGGAGGTGAACGCACAAAAACTGCTGAGCCGCGGGACCCACTAGCGCACCGTGCCCACGCGCTGGTGTGATGGCACGATAGGGCAGGAGCTGGAGTTTGTTGTGCGTTCCGTACCAGAACATTCTTGCTGAAGCCAAAGTTCTCATGCACGAGATGCGTGAGTTCAGGGATGAATCCGCAAGATGGCCATTTTAGATCGCGTCACTGGCCAAAATGTGAAGCATGCTGATGACATTTGGCCTCCATCATAGAACCGCATGATGTTATGTTAGCCCGTCGCATGTTTTACTATAAGATAGATAGAGAGAGAGAGAGAGAGAGAGAGAGAGAGAGAGAAAAAAAAAGAGAGAGAGAGAGAGAGAGAGAGAGAGAGAGAGAGAGATATATATATATATATATATATATATATATATATATATATATGTATATATATATATGTATATATATATATGTATATATATATATATATGTATATGTATATATATGGTTTATTTAGTTATTTGGTGTCGTGGTCCACCTCACTTTGTTACATACGTTATCTTCAAATGTAAAACTTAAGTTGGTTTGTATCGTGTTAAGAAAGTTTACATTTATGTGTCCTATGCATTCGTGCGTCTTTTCTAGTAGTCTTGGCTTTGCTCACGTAACGTGTTGATCATTGGCATGCAAATGTACATAAATATTGTTAATGTTTATTTTCGCTGATTATGTTTCGTTACGATTCATGTCAAGAGTACGGGTCAAAACTCACTATGCGTCGGTTATCCCTTATCTATTGCCACCACTGCAACACTCGCCATGAGACCTCCCAGCTTTTCGAAGACCACTTTTGTACTCGACCTGTCTGAAGAACGGATCTGTCTTAGGACCGAGCGTGTGCTGCATTAGCAGCCGACGACAAGCAAAGGAGAATTTTTGTACAACCACAGCCCTATTGTAATTATTCAAAAATGGCATTGTGCGCAACCGGGTCCGGTTCTCAGTACATTCAGCGGTTTTGTGCCGCATGAGGTTAATCCCCATGTGCGTCGGCGTATTTTAAATCGCCTTTTTATGTCCGATCATCCTGACATCCCTTTGTCTGCGCAGTCAACGGCTTCTAAGCGCGCGCAACCTGTCCATTACGCACCGACGAGCCTCGCTCGCGTGCCAGCGCTGGCCGGCCGACCGCGGGGCCCGCCGAGCGCGGCTGGCCGGCGAACCGAGCAGCGCTGGGTGGGCCGGCCAGGGCGCGACCCCGGCGCGCCGCGTCGGGCCGCGCGCTCCGCCCGCCGGCGCTTCCTGCGCGGCGCCGGTAGTCGGGCCCCGGCAGCGGCGCTAATCAAGGCGACGGCATCAACAACAGGGCCGGTCGCGGGGCGGTCGGCGCCCGGAGGCTCGAGCGGCGTCAGCTGGCGCCGCCGCGGGCCGTAATTGCCGAGCGGGCCGGTGGCGGCGTGGTGGCAAGGCTCACGAGCCGTGCTCGGCCGGGCGCGGTTCGCCCTTACGGCCGCGCGCCGGCGTCGGCGAGTAATTACCGAGGTCTTGCGTCGGTGGGGGCCATTAGGGTACGCTGCGGTCTGGTGTAATATGCCCCTGTAGGTCGGCGGCGGGGTGGGTTATGCTAAGAGGACCGGTGCGGCCGCCTGATGGAGTAATATCAGAGCAGAAAACTGTTTGTCCGGCGCCAGCCGAGTCGCCGTTCTCCCGAGCAAATACGCACAGCTCACGCCCGCTGAAAGCCCGTCATTAAAGGAGCCGATGCGGATCAGCTGATGACACGGGCGCGACGGCTAATATGAAACCGCCTGGTCGCGATAACCGATAAGCGACGGCACTAGAGACACTGGCCTCTCGGCGGTAATGCGTGTCTTTGTGGATAACATCGGTGACCGGGGCATCTTCGCAGGCGGCTAACTACACCCGAGCCTCAATCAAAGGCGCCGCCACCGCTGCTTCGTGTGTCCGGCGTCATGTGCCCCTCCCCCTGCCCCTGCCCCTCCCCCCACGGACCATGACCGCTGTGACAGTCGACTGTTCCCCCTCGCCACGGACCATGACCCCGGTGACAGCCGGCCGTTCCCTCTGCCCGCAGTGCTGGGAGAAATGCGCTTCCCTGCATGACGTACTGACTGCCAAGTTCACCTCCTGCGAGCACGTGCCCGACTGTGTAAGTACTTGCCATGCAGCGGCGGCGCGAACGGCTGGTCGCGGACCTGTGCGAATGTGCAGGCCGCGGCGGCACTCTCCGGAGATGGAGGTGCCAACTGGCCGGGCGGCATGCGATAGCTCCCCGCCGGTCCGCCGCTATGGACCCAGCGTCGGTGATGACCACGCTGAGGGTCGTGCTCAGGCCGAGCAGCCATAAACCGGCCATCATCAATCCCCGCAGTCACACCTCTGACAGTCCGGACTTCAAGGGCAGGTTTTGTTCCGAGAGCAGCTAAGTCGTTACGCTTGAGATGCCCTTAAGTATTATCGTTTAATTACGTGAGTGGGCTGTTCAAGGCCCTTATGGCTGAGCGCCGTGCAGGCATTACAAGAGAGCGAGACCAAGTATCGGCAGTGTTAGGGGCAATGATATTAGCACAATGATGCCAGCAATGACACGGAACACTTCACAGCGGCATGATGTCAGGTACTAAATTTAGAACGCAAGGGTACGGCATTCATCTCGGACAGGATTTACTGCTGGATCAAGCGCCGTGCGCGGTCAAGAGCCGTCCAATGACCATAGTGAGCTCATTTGTCTATGGAATTATGCATTGCGCTAGGCGCATCTGCGTTTTTCAACAGCGTCAACAGCCTGAGCTCAGGAACCCAAGTCATTGTAGTTGCATTGTATGGTGTGATCTTTGTCTTCCTCAGCATGCATACGTCGTGAGCGTAATGCTATTTGACTTTAAACAAGCCAAAGATTAGGTAGATCGCCGAGGCGGTAACAAGGACTTTTACACCAACAACTGCAACACTGCAAACGTGCACGTATCTCGCCGTTTCCACGAAGGCGGGACAAGTTGTCATAACCGCATCGCTTTATCGGCACGATCGACGTCGCACCAGTCCTGGTGTCCGTCAGCTAGAGCTCCACCGCGATCCGTCTGTTGTCACCACACGACAGCCGGTCCACACGACATCCACAAGCCGTGCCGACGCTGGATGCGGCCGATTCCGCCGATAGTGACAGCCAGTCGTGTCGCTGTCGTGTCACGTTCCTGCCTTGCTGCGCCCGTGCTGTGTAAACCCCTGTTGTTTACATTTCACTGCCGTATCAGCATTGCCGTATCGTCCTTGCCACGCTGATCTCTGCCATGTTGATCACCGATACGTTGGTCCCTGCCGCATCATCCCTGCCGCGTCCGTCCCTGCCGCATCATCCCTGCCGTGTCCGTCCCTGCCGCAGTCTTCCCTGCCGCGTCCGTCCCCGCCACATCATCCCTGCCGCGTCCGTCCCTACCGCAGTCTTCCCTGCCGCAGTCTTCCCTGCCGTGTCCGTCCCTGCCGCAGTCTTCCCTGCCGTGTCCGTCCCTGCCGCAGTCTTCCCTGCCGTGTCCGTCCCTACCGCAGTCTTCCCTGCCGCAGTCTTCCCTGCCGCAGTCTTCCCTGCCGCAGTCTTCCCTGCCGCGTCCGTGTCTGCCGCAGTCTTCCCTGCCGCAGTCTTCCCTGCCGCGTTCGTCCGTGCTCCATCGCGCCCTGTCCCGCTCGAAGGCCGCCGTCGCTGACCCTCCTTGCCCGACGACGCAGGTAGACGCGGGATGCCAGATGGCGTGCAGGTTTCACGCGTCTCCGCCGAGCGCGCCGCGGGTGCTCTCGCTCCGCCCGGCGCGGCTGGAGGTGGAGTTCGGCTGGTCGGAGGCGCGCTGGACTGTGCTGGAGGCGGACGCGGCGCCCCGCCACGGCAGCGTCGTCTACCTGCTGCTGGCCAAGACCGGTGACCAGTGGAAGGAACTCGTGCAGGTCAGTCGACGCTGTCGCTCGACGGGGCTGAGCCGGGGGAGGGGTAATGAGCACTGCGCTGGCACGAGCTTTGTTATGTGTCGTGACACAGCAGGGTCGTGACGGCTGAAGAGCACCGCACTCCGATTGTGCGCTCAGTGGGAGTTCAGTTGATAGGGCCAGTTAGCGAGCCGGCTTAGCGGAATAATCAGTGGCTCCCCCTCCTCCTCTACCCCCACCCCATCCCATGTAGTTTCTGTCGCTAGAATGCTGCTGTTGGTTTGAACAACAGAACTCAACGAAGCGAAACCTCACCTCCATGAGAATTTTACGCACCGTCATCCGCTGCTGTTAAGCCTCACCACCATAGTCCTTGCCCAGTGCCTTCGCGAGCTGGTTGGTGACGTCCCCCCCCCCCCCCCCCGCTCTCTGGCAGACGCCGGAGGCGAGCGTGGTGCTGATCAACCTGCGGCCGGGCACTGCGCTGCGCCTGCTGGCGATGACGCGGCACGGCCAGCTGTCCGCCCTGGAGACGGTGTTCGCGCCCACTGAGCCCGACCGGCTGGTGCTGGACGTGCAGGAGAATCAGCTGGACGAGGAGCAGCGCCGTCTGCAGACCTACCAGATCGAGGTGGGTGCCGATCTCGGAACGGGGGCAGGTGTGCAGGTCAGGGGTGTTGCCAACGGAGGGCGGCGGGCAGAGGCGCGTCCGCCAAATCTTGGAGGTTATGATGGCGTTAGAGGCGTCGCGTGGAGGGAATGGTCCAAGATTGCCTGCCCGGCCATCAGCCGGTGCTGCGGCCTTCGATGCTGATACTGAAATGTCATATCTTGATCGGGTTTGCAGATCGCAGACCTGTACCAGGTCGAGGTCGGCTACCTTTACAGATGGATATCAAGATCAGAACCATTCTGATCCGGTTAGCATTGGGAATGATAGTAGCGAGTATGCGCTCGGGGCCTGCTGTGCGCAAATACCTGTCAGGAGCACAGGAAAAATGCTGACACCAGAGCTCCCGTGAGCGTGGCGTAGCGTGACGTCCGCATGGCCATGGTGTAGTATCCTGCTGATTCTTATAAGCTGTACAATCCTTTGCTTCCGCAATTTTTGGCTTATCGGGCCCCACCCTGGGGCCCACCGGCATGAACTCTCTGTGATGTTCGTCCTGGCGAGAGGCGTCCCGTCCTGCCCGCCACTCGAGCGCCGCCCGTGACATTCAAATGACGGGTATCGGCGCCGGTGCCGGCCGCGGAGGGGGCCGCGCCGGCCGACCGACCGACGCCCGTCCCCGCCGGCACCGCTGGCGGACCGGCGCACCGCAGGAATTTATGCAGATGGCGGTCCCTGCGATTGGTCTGTTTGCTCTCCGATGGTTGGGGTGCCGACCACGTGCGTCGATTTATTGCGGAGACTGGGCGGCTTGTGCACTGGTGTGACCTTTCGCGGTTGATTAGCATGTGTATGAGCACTGGCGCTCGCTTGCGTTAGAGCCTGTGTGCGATTTCACGTAACTTGGCAATTGAGCTAACAATTTATTTACAATGCGTTTGTGCGTCCAAGATATGGACTATGGAAACAGTGTCAACCCTCTTCATTCTGACAGCGTGACGTTTAATCAGCGAATTTTGCTCCTCCTTTGTGAGATGCAGTGATAAAGTCACGCCGAATTTGAAAACAGTTGCCATACGGCTGGTGAAGCTGCCCGGACATTTCTAGCTTTGTTCACCCGAGTGGTAACAGCATTACTGGCCTCGCAGCACGTGGCCGACAGATCATATCAGGATTGGCTCCTGATCCCCTGACACATCACGTCAGGACTGGCTGCTGATCCCCATGTTCCTGCATCCGACACACGCATTGGAGTGGGATCACCCGCGTCCCCGCCACATCCGTCGCACGAAGACCGCTGCTGATCCGCATCAACACCATGCCCGGCGCCGGGCTGCCGGGCTTCACTGTGTCTGCGGCTGCTGAACACGAGGCGGTGCTGACCCCAGCCCCCCTCCCCGCGTCCGGCAGATCCCTGGCGCCTGGCTGCTGGAGACGGTGTCGGTGGCGCGGGACGACAACATGGTGCTCGCCGAGGTCAGCTGGGAGCCGCAGACGGCCGGGCCGGCCGAGTACCTCGTGACCTGGGAGGTCAGCGGCGGCGGCATCAAAGGCCACCTCTACACGGACATGACCTCGGTGACTCTCAGCCTGTGGCCTGAGTCCATATACAACATCCAGGTGTGTGACGTTGTTAACACTACACGGCTGGTGAGGTGCTGCGCTGCATATTGATGAGCTGGGAGGTGGCTTGGGTGGCACGTTTTCCCAAAAGATGATCGTGAATGGTAAACGCAGGGGCGCTGTCACTTCGAGTGAGGTTCTCAGAAATGACGTCAGTAAGTCGCGGCGGATGCATTGTGTGTCGTAAGCTGTGCAAGCCTGAACCACAAAAACGATCGCAGTCTGCCTGAAATTTAAGAAAACCTTTGTGCGTTCATCTTGCACGCCGGTCAAAACAGGCCTCGCATTTCCGCGGAGCGCCACCGCCGCAAAAAATCGCCGCCCCCTCCGGTCGCGCGGCGAGCCCCCGCACGACTCGGGCCGCCGGCGGCCGACGCCTCTCTTTACGGAGCGCGGACGCAGCCAGCCGCTGGCTCGGAGTGCCGGGCGGGCCTGCCTGCACGGGGACCGCCCGGCCGGCCCACGCGCCGCTGCGCGAGGTTTTTGCCCTCTGCCGGCTTGTTTCCCGGTCGGCGGCGAAAAACTGCGCTCGTTAGTGGCGGCATGAGTGACGCGCGTGGCGGCGCAGGCGCGCCGGCGCCGCCATCACGCGACGTCACTCCCCGAGCGCCGGCGCGGCCGGGCGTAAATTGATCTCAATGGGGCATTCGACATTCCTGCGGTGGCGTATCGCCGATGCGGCGGCGGTGCGCGCGGCCAGCTGGCGCCCGTGCGAGGCACCACCGCCGGCGGTGCGCCGCCACTTGAGTTATGGCCGCTGGGATTCCGTTTTAGGTCTGCCCGGGCCGAGGTAACTGCATCCTAATTGGCGTTATTAAATTTTGCAGCGAGCAATGATGCCACGGCATGATAAATCGCCGTTATACGATGTAGAAGTGTGATTATTTGCATTAGTTTGATTCACCAGGGAGAGCGGGCCAGCGGGTGGGAGGCTTACGACAATTAAACTGCGGCAACAAATCTGAATAGGCGCCGGAATGGAGTCATAATTAGCGTCGTGTGGCCCGAGCCCGCGCCGAGGTGGACCACCAGCGCACCGTGGTTTATCGCTCGGCCGCCTGCGGCGCTAGCGGCGGCGTTTCCGCTCGCCGGCGGCTAGTTCGCCGACGGCCCGCCTGCGGCGCTAGTGTGCTGACGTCGCGCCCGTCCGGCAGGTGGAGCTGATGTCGGTGGAGCAGGGCGTGGAGCCGCTGCGCTCGGTGCCGCTGGTGATCAGCACGTACAGCGTGGCGGCCGGCCATGCCGTGCACAAGGTGCCGCGCTCAGCGCTGGCCGGCAAGCCATTGACGCAGCCACCGCTGCGGGCCGACGACTCGCTGCTGCTGCCGCTGCTGCTGGTGCTGGCGCTGTGCTGCGCCACCGGCTGCGCTCTGATGGTGCTGCTCCGCCGGCTGTGCCCTGGCGGCGAGCTGGCCGAGACGCAGCGCCCCCTGGAGGAGGCGCAGCGCCGCCTGTTCGCCGTGTCGCGGTGCGTGGCGCATAAGTCGGTCGCTTCGCCGATAGATGTCGTTGCATTTGCCGGCGTTCACCAGCCGCGCAACGTGTAGGGAAGAGTGAGACAGAATGAATGAGCAGCGAATGTGTGCTGTTTTGATATTACGTGTGTCTTCATATGGGACAATTTGTATGTTAGCTGCTTTATCGGCTATGATGACATGCTGTAATTATTTCGTGCGGGATGGCTCGCGTTCTCCGCTCGGTACCACGAGTTCCTACAGTGTTAGCGATGTGTTTGTTCGTTAGAAATATTTCAGCTCAGTGTTAAGCTAACACGGTGGTGTGAGCGCTTTGTACCTCCGCCTGGGTCTGCAGCCCAGCGCGCGGCTAACCTGCGACCATGTGCCGTCCAGACGCGGATTTTACCATGCATGTCAAGTATGTTGATGCTTCGTACGCAGCTCAGAGGCGCCATGCCCGGCCTCTCCGCGCCCATAGTCACCAGCCATTCTGAATGAGACCCGGCAGCGCTCCTCCATCCATCTTCACCGGCGTCTCCGGCCGTCTCCAAGCACCGCTCCCAGGTGTTGACAATGCGCTCGGCCGGACGGCGATTCGGGTCACCGTTGTGTGGCGATTATCTGTGATACGCGCATATTCATGAGTGGTGTCCCGCGCGGCCCGGCGAGCGTGCGTGACCGCCGCCTGCCGCGCGCCGCGCACTGTACAAATACGCCGCGGATCTGTGAATAATACACGGTCGTTGTCGCTCGCACGGCTGCGTTTCGCTTCGGCCGGCGGCGTGGATGGTGCGGCCGGCGGCGGAGGCAGACGCGGCGCTTCGTCTCCATTACCGACGCGGCCGCTGCCGGCGCCTCCCGGTCTCAATTATCAATTACGGCTCGGCGGCGCCGGCGCGCGGCGACGCGGGCGGCGCGGCGGAGGCGGCCGACCTGCGCCAGCGCCGCCGACCGGCCGGCGCGCGCCGGCTATGAAATATGCATGCCTTCCAGTATATGGAGACTAATGACCGGGCACGAGCGGCTGAGCTCAAGACACCGGGCGTCTGGAGGCGTCTGGCTGGCGGCGGTGGCCGTCTCCAGCCATCACCACCGGAGCCGGGGGCTGAGCGGAACAGGGCCGCCGCCGCCGGCCCCGCTGCCCGTCCGGGCGGACTCAGCTCCGTTTTTGTGGCAGTGCGGAGGATCAGGTTCCGGGAGCGGAACGGAGCCGGCAGTAGAGCGGCTGAGCGGCGACAGTTGCAGTGTAAATAACCCGCGCGGTGCCCACACGGGGCTGCGTGGGTGGCCGCCAATGCTGCGACTATGGCGTAAAGCAGCACAGTTCTCCGATGAACTGTCGGTGCATGGTTCAAGCTGTCAGGCACACCCAGAAATAAGCACTGGAAATGGCAAGTAAACGTCCCTTTAAAATCAGGAGGAATTATCAAGGGGTCATCTCGTGTCAGGATTCGTAAAGACGCGGAGCCAAGTGTAAGATGGGTGCGTTTCATCTTCTAACTCTGCGCGCTGGAGGTTGCTCTTTCCCACAGATATTACCTAGATTGCAGACAAGCAAAGGTTAATGACAAAGGTAATGACAACTAGGTTGAATAGGTTGCTCGGTAGCCTACCTGGGTAGTGCCACCGTGGGATACGTTCAAAATACATAACAAACCTCTACCAAATGTGGTCAACAAAGAGTTTCCACCCGTCATACTGACCGCATGAAAATAAAATTGCCTACTAAAGCTACTTTATAAATCTGTACAACCCCACCTCTATATTGAGTTTGGTGCGAACGAATTGCTAAATACTGCTGCCTCGGTCAGCTCTGGGGAGGGGATCGATAAACCCCTCATGATTTCTATTCGATAGCATTGTCAGAGAACAAGTCCTCCGCCCACGTGTGCCTTTGTGGCGGTCGTATCAAGGGAAGATATGAGCTATCAAAGACAGCGCCGCTGGTGGTGCAACGCTTGAACGCGTGTATTTTCTTGATCAAGATGTTGCGATTGTCTCTCCAGCGTGCAAAACACTCGCGAGCTGTCCTAGCATTGTTCAGTGAAGCATTCTTTTGCTTGTCGAGATGGGCCGGCGTATGGTTTTCCTCTGATGGCATCAGCCCTGTCCTTAATTACATTTGTCGAACATAAATCAAGCAAGTGGTGCTCCTTGAGGCGTGCATGCATTTGAACGCATTGTATTTATTATTCATGAAGCAGGAGTGCAATTATGTTGTGATGCGGGCTATTGCGAGTGAAGAAATTGTAGACACGGATAAACATGTCCTTGAACAATATGGGGGGGGGGGGGGCAACAAGGCTACTCATCCAGGCAAGCGTGCGGTCTTACCAGGACAAAACGGCAATCATATAAGGAGCAAGCGTTCGTGATTTAGTCTAAAAGTTCCAGCAAAACCGCCACACTGTGTTTTGTGATTGCGAAAGAGGCCGCAGACCAAGTGAGGTTTGAGTAGGGAAAAAATTTAACCCAGCCCGCGGCCAGGTCCAGCAGTCACACTCACTAGATGTTTATATTTTGGCGGCGCTGATCATGGTCTAGTGCATTTGACAGTAACAAAAAGCGTAAGTTTCTTACAAGTTGTCCCGTGTACTTGTTGAGGCGTTTGTCTCCCAGCATTCGAGCAGACGTGATATTTGTGGAGAAGCGTAATTTGAGCAAGATGTAGCTCTCACCGTTTGACAATCATGGGACAAGTAAAGTTTTCGAAGACGGACGATCGCAGTGACAGAAGTGTTTGAACTGCACTTTCCTGCGCAGCGAACAAAAGTAACGACAAAACTGCGTGCAGTCGGTCACGTTTTCTAGAGAGCAAACCATTCATCCTGGCTCCTTTTCGTATTAAGGCCAGATATCTAGACCTAAAACATACAAAGGCATTAAAACAAAGTGTACGGTGTTGACGGATGTACCGACCACAATTCGTTTGGTAATCTCAACGGTAACCGAAGTACAGGCAAGGCAGAAATCGATTGAAAGGTGGTGTCAGCTCTTCGAGACCGGGTTCGACGCAACTTGCTGTGACCTAAACCGAAGAATGTAGGCCTCTAGAAGCTGCACACGTGTCTCAAGTCTACTTCATCGTGACCATCGTCCTCCTTAAGTATTGGGTTTTTCGCAAAGCTTTGCTCGCAGGCACTGCAAATCGTTAACGCTTTCAAATTAATCGAGTTCGTCTGCTTAACTCACCAGGCCTTGCCGGACAGCAGACAACTTTACAAACTATCGGATTTGTGAAATTCACTTGTGAACGTGACATCGATGCTCTCTGCCTGCTGGATCTCATGGAGCTTGATCTTTCCAACGGATTAATCAGACCTATCATTAAAGGCTCCCAAAGGCATTTGGCTTTCTTGGCTTAGGTATTGGAATAATCCACATGATGAGCATTGATGACTCGCCTGACTCGCTTACTTTTGTCGCCTGTATTTCACGTTTGTCACCACCTCGCTAGTCCCATTCTTCACGTAACGTCCCAAGGATGCATCGGTGTAAAGTCTGCATGATTTCTCGTGTGGTTGAAGTCAGTCTCTGTGCATTCATGTTTGGTTTACCGTCACGACGGCGTCGATCCGATAAAACTGTCTGCAACTTGGCGTAACCTGTTGGCCTTGGGAATAAAAAAACAGCAGCTTCCACGCCTGCTCACAAAAACTAACTTCTGCGTGCAAACAGCATGAGCTTACCAAAAGAGCAGCACAAGTATAGCACAATCAAGAACTAGGGTGTTACTTGAAAACAAGCTGCTTAATCCCTCGGCAACTGTTAAACACACTACCTTCGCAGCATGCACACCCTGGGCCCAATGTCTGGGTCTTCAGGCGTCAACCACATAAATAATGCCGGCGATAGTTCCTCACGACGTCATTTGCCATCCACTTCTTACCGCGCGACCAGCGATAATTAATTGTATCGTGGCCCACCACTGAGTAGGTTTCGATGTCCTCTTAACTCGCCTCGAATCAATAATAGCCGGGTGACTCTGGGAACGTATTAGCTCGGCCTGCCCGCCCGACCGATAATCGGGCCCGACATCTTCTGTTTGCGCGGCGCGCTGATGGGAGAATAACGTGCGTGGCGCCGGCCCGCGCCGCTTTCGCCCCTCCAGCCAGCGCCGCCTGGGAGGTCGGCTGTGCGCCTAACGAGCCACAGGCGGAGGTCGTGAGGTCCGTCGTCGGGCAGGCGGCGGCGATCATGGCGCCTCTCAGACTGTCTCCTCAGGCCGATGCTATCTGGCCACTCGCCGCGGAGTTCAGAACAGTGCACAGCACGCTGTTTGTCGAGGGCTTTGCCATACTTGATAAATCATTCCCTTGGGCTCCTACAGGGGGGCGGTGGGGGGGGGGGGGGACGGGACGGTACAAGTACCCCAACACCGTTGGATTTAGTGTCATGCCAGCAGACGTTACATGGAAAACCCCTTAAGAAAATTGGATGTCACTCCAGGGTTGATCGGCGTCGCTGTTCATGTCCATTCAGAGGAGGAGCGATGTCTAGTTCTGTACCAATTAAGTGACGTGTCCCCAAAGAAAACTTTTCTTGGAGCCTCTAAAAATTATCCGGGGCGTATTATTCCGTGGGAATTGTTCCAGTTTCTACTACAACTTACAAAGCTAAGTTCAAAACACATGATGGCTTCAAAGCAGAATTATCATCGTGATTCCCCGGCTGCTTTTCGGGTCTCTCATTTAACCTGTCGTTAGATGGGCCTCTCAGCGACCTGCACGGAGGACTCTGCGATCAGAGTTGTCCAAACTAGGCTGAGCCTGTTTTCGTCAGCCTCCACGGAAAACCCCGGTGAACCCGAACCGAAGACGCTGCCGTGCGATCAGCCAATGCCAAAACAAGACAGCACACAAGCAGCAGCCGACATGTGTTAGGCAATGGGCCTGGTGCAATGTCCCGTGACAGGCCTGCACGGCCCACCTCGCGCTGGTCACGTGACCCGTGTGGACATGTCGGGCAAGTTAAACGACATCGCGAGGTCTCACGTCATCGCGCTGAAGTACGCGCAGCAACTCGGCGACTGGGCACGATGGCGCTCGATATCTCGGTGACTGCTTCATAACTACCTGCATTGAAATGGAGTCGCCGGGCGACCTGAGTTGTATTGCTAGCAGCCAGCAGCGTGACCTGAAAATTCGGCCAGTCGCATGTATCAGGCAAGTGTGGTTACGGACAATATCTGTGTCTTACTGCTAGGCTAGTAATGGTCATCTTTGGCGCATAAATTGCAAATCGTAACACTACCAAAATTTCCGTGGTTTGGCCATGAGGAAGCTGAACTGGACCTGCGACCATTTGCAGCCATATGTTTACTTTGAAACGCATGAGCACGTCAGGCTAAGGGTAGGATGACTTAAGGCATCGTATTTCCCACAAAAAGCAAAAATTCACCACAGGCGGCCTTGTCATTGCTGTGTTTAACATGTTGAAAATGTCAGTACCCACGATTCAACAAGCCGGATGGAGGAAAATCTTCTCTCGATTCGAAACACTTCGTGGAAGGATAACTTCCACCACGCCAACGTCGCTTAGCGAGAACTCTGATCTCATACGCACCCAGGCGGCTAACTAATGACGAGTCACGAGAATGATTTTTGAGCTGACCCATGCGAGGTCAGAGTGCACGTAACATGTATGACAGGTGCTGCCAGTCTCATCATCATCGCCTGACTGGCCTGGTCTACACGTCCCTCTTGATGACAGCAGCCAATGAGAACACCCAGGTTTACGGGTATGGGTGAAATCC